TTGCATGATACAAAAATCAACGTACATAAATTAAATGCACTTGTATACTACCAGTGAATATCTGACAAAGAAGTAAAAAAATACCATTAACCATAACACCCAAATAATAAAATACTTAGGGATAAATTTAACCAAGCAGGTGAAAGATGGATACATTAAAAACTATAAAACTGATGAAAGAAACTGAAGAAGTCACAAATAAATGGAAAGATATCCTGTGTTCATGGGATTGGAAGAATTAATATTGTTAAAATGTCCATACTACCCAAAGCCATTTATAGCTTTAATATAATTCCCATCAAAATTCCAATGACATTAAAAAAATTTTTTTATGTTTATTTCTGAGAGAGAGGCAGAGTGTCAGTGGGGGAGTAGCAGAGAGAGGGAGACACAGAATCTGAAGCAGGCTCCAGGCTCTGAGCTGTCAGCACAGAGCCTGATGCGGGGTTGGAACTCACAAATCATGAAATCATGACCTGAGCCGAAGTTGGATGCTCAACCGACTAAGCCACGCAGGTGCCCCCCCCGCAATACATTTTCTAATAGAGAAAAATTCTAAAATTCGTATGGAACGATAATAGGCTCTGACTAGCCAAAGCAATCTTGAGAAAGAAGAACAAAACTTGAGGAATCATACTTTCTGATTTCAAACTAAACTGCAGAGCTTTAATAAGCAAACAAGTATGGTATTAGCATGGAAATAAACACATGGACCGATGCAACAGAATCAATAGCCTAGAAGTAAACCCCTGAATGTATAGTCAACTAATATTTGACAAAAGAGCTAAGAATACTCAATGGGAGAAAGAATAGTTTCCTCAATAAATGGTGTTAAGAAAATGAGATAATCATACACAGAAGAATGAACCCTTCTCTTAGACTATTCACCAAAATTAACTCAAACGGATTAAAGACTTAAATGTAAGACCTGAAACTATAAAAATTCTAAAAGAAAACTTAGGGGAAAAATTCCTTGATATGGTTCTTGGCAATGAGTTTTTTGGGGGGTTATAACAACAAAAATAAACAGCAAAAGCAAAAATAAGTGGGACTACACAACTAAAAAGCTTCTGCACACAAAGGAAACCATCAAAAGATGAAAAGGCAGCCTATGGAATGGGAGGGCATATTTATAAATCATGTATCTAAGAGGTTGATATCCAAAAGGATATATAAGGAATTCATACTCAATAGCAAACCAAAATCAAAACCAAAACCAAAAACAAGCCAATTGAAAAGTGTGCCAAGGACCTGAAAAGATCTGTTTTCCAAAGAAGACATTTAGATAGCCAACAGGTACATGAAAACATGCTCAGCATTCCTAGTTATCAGGGAAAGTAAGTTAAAATCACAGTGACATACCATCTCACACCTGTTAGAATGGCTGTTATCAAAAAGACAAGAGCTAAGTGTTGGCAAGGATGTGGAGGAAAAGGAATCCTTGCGCACTACTGGTAGGGAAGTAAATAGTACAGCCACTGTGAGAAACAGTATGGAAGTTCCCCAAGCATTAGAGATAGGACTATAATTCCACGTCTGGGTATATATCTGAAGGAAATGTAATCACTTTGTTAAAAAATGTTTATTTTTGAGATAGAGGGAGAGAGAGAGAGAGCGCAAGTGCACAAGCTGGGATGGGGCACAGAGAGAGAGACACAGAATCCAAAGCAGGCTCCAGGCCCTGAGCTGTCAGCATAGAGCCCAATGCGGGGCTTGAACCTATGAACCGTGAGATAGTGACCTTAGCCGAAGTTGGATGCTCAACCAACTGAGCCACCCAGGTATCCCATGAAATCACTATCTTGAAGAGACGTCTGCAGCCCCATGTTCATTGCCGCATTACCCACAATATCCAAGACAGGGAAACATCCTAAGTGCCTGTTATTGGATTAATGGAGAGAGATGTACTTTGCTGCATACAAGGGAATTCAGCCACAAAAAGAAGGAAATCTTACTATTTGTGACAATACGGATAAAACTGAGGGCATATGCTGAGTGAAATAAGTCAGATAAAGATAAATATTGAATTATTTCACTCACATGTGGTATCTAAAAACATTATACTTCTAGAAACAGAGATTAGATTGGTGGTTGCCAGGGGCGGAGTTGGGGGAAATGTTGAAGGTGATCAAAATGTATAAACTTCTAGTTATGAGTAAGTTCTGGGGATATACAGCATAATGACTGTAGTTAACAATACCGTATTGTATACTTGAGAATTATTAGTTATTTGTATACTCTATTGCATACTAACAATAGATTTTTTTAAAGTTTATTTGCTTATTTTGAGAGAGAGAGAGACAGAGTGTGTGTGTGCAAGTGGAGGAGAGGCAGAGAGGGAGAGAGAGAACCCCAAACAGGCTCCATGCTGTCAGCCCAGAGACTGTCATGGGGCTTGATCTCACAACTGTGAGAAATCAGGAGTTGGACGTTTAATGACTGAGCCACTGAGGTGCTCCATAAAAGAATAGATTTTTAAAGTTCTCACCACACACACACAAAAAAAAAGAATGATAAGGTAATGGATATGTTAACTAACTTTATTGTGGTAATCATTTTGCAATACGCATGAATATCAAATCACCACATTGTATATCTTAAATTTATACAGTTCTCTGTCAATTTTATCTCAATAAAGCTGGGAAAGAATAGAATTATGTGTGTAAAAGATACTTATAAGGCATGCAGATTTTTTTTTAAGCAGAAGAAAATGCTATATGGTAATTAGAAGAGTGTTGGCCAACTTCTGAGTTAATAATTTTAGAAGCTGTTATTTTACAAGATCTCAAACTTAGGCACCTAAGTTCATAGTGTTTGACTGAAGTTTTATGTTCAACTCTGAGAAACAGCTTGCTTAGCTAACAGGGTGGGGGGAATGTTAAAACCCGGAACAAGATGTTTAAAAAAAAAGTTGCTTTAATGACATCTAGGAGAAGGAGGACAGAAATGTATCTTGTGAATTTTATTATTATGAAAATTTTAAAACAAAAGGATGATCTATTTGTATGTTATTTCTTCAGTGCATTTGCAAATAGGCGATAATTGAAATTAAAACTGGCTATGTAAGCATGGCATTAGTCCATGTAAACAGCTAGCATCTAGATGACAGTGGGATTTATTGAACAATAGAAAAATATGCTCACTTGACAGGTTCTAAGGTTTTGTTTTGGCTGTTGTTGTTGGATGTGTGGGTGCTGGTGGGGGTAGCTTCATTAACACGTTACATTATTTCCAGGTTTGACTTGATGGACTTGGCTGACAGGGCATTTGGGTGTTCTTTTTTTCCCCCTAGTTGTTCCAGGCTGGTTGCTATGCAGCTGTGTTTTTGTGAAGAGAAAGTGTCTAATGTGTGTCTGTTTTTATTCAGAGAAGCATATGGAGTCTTTCTCAGGGAGGCTGGATCTTACTTGTGACGTGCCAGTGGGGCACCGAGTTGCTGTGGTCAGCAATGCCTGCGTTGCAGGGTTACTCTGTTTGTGACTTGTTCTGAGATGGATGAGGATTTTCCTTTGGGCTTTATTTGATTCCGTTTAAATAGAATCTGTTTTGTTTGTTTTTGTTTTGTTTTTGTTTCTGTTTTTGTTTCTGAAACCCATGCCATATTACAGCAGTTACAGAAGCTGTCCGCTTTAAATAGTGTGGTGTTAAAAATTGAGATCAGAACTGCTAGGGAATATCTGAAACACTATGAAGTATAACTGAGGCAATTTGTTGCATATGGCTGGGTAGGAACGGAGTGAGTAGGAGGAAGGGAGAGGTGATGATTGCATAAGGAAGTGTAAAAGAAGTATGTGTGGGGAGGTGACCCAGAAAGATGACTTACGGGAACAAAGGATACATGAATAATTGATCTCAAAGTTCACCTACCCCTTTGAAACTTATCACGAGTGTCCTTCCTGGATTTATTTCACTACGTCTTATTATTACCCGTTGAAGATTTATGATAATATCCATCACATTGCATATGGGTCTGTCCCTCCCCCAGAACTGTAAACTCCTTGAGGGCAACCACTCTTTCTTACTCCTTTCCTTTTGTTTCCCAAACTAGGTGCTTTCCTTAGTGCCTGGAACATCTGGGGTAATACATAAATATTGCTGGAATAAATAAATAATTATTTTACACTGTATCTGGCACTTTGGTTATATAGGTAAGTGGAACCACATTATGTAAAAAGTTAGAGACTAGACAAAAAAGTCACATAACAGTCATGATATATAGAAAGAATTGGGCAGAAAAGTACAGAGTAAATATGTACTTTTGGTCCGATTGTGCCACTAAAAGGTTTTGTGAGTTTAGGTGATATAAATAAGTTAATACCTCTTTGGAAAACTAGGGGGCCTTACTTGAGAGAAAATATTATTTTATTTGAAAATAAGTATAAAAAGAAATGCTAATAAAATCATAACACTTGTTGAAATGATACTTGATATATACTGATTTGGAGGATAAGAAATAAGTAGAATTACTCTGAGAGGGAAACACAACTCTAATAAAGAGATAATGAAATGTTCACAGTGAAATATTTCTTTTACACCAATTTTCTCACACTGAAATAGGTCCGGAAAGGCGATAGGGCATTAATGGGAACCATCTGAGTTTTGGGAGACAGACCTGGGTTTAAATTTGCAATTTAGAAATGTGTGTGGGTACATGACCCACACTCTCTGAGTTTTAGTTTTCTACATAGAATTTATGTGTAATAATGTCTGAATTTTAGGGCAGTAAGGATTTGGGGTACTATTTCTCACATCTTCCTTAGAGTGGATAGCACATACAAGAGATTCAATAATTGGTAGATACAAATAGTTGTTCAGAAAGCAGTATGCCTACACCAGAGCCTTTTAATCGTTTTTTTTCTTGATCTATCGTGGACCAGTTTGAAAAGCCAACTAAGGTACTGGAGGTGGCTCAGTAAAGAGAAAAAGCTCAGGGCGAGCGAGATAGGTCGTCCTGGGTTCTGGTCCCATCGGTTTTTTCAGGTTTCTCTCTCCTTGCTTACTCTCTGGCACGTTGCTTTCTCTTTTGAATTCAGTTTTTCTATTTCTAAAAAGAGCGGGTGGGCTACGAAATGGGACGGGTGAAACACATCTCTGAGTGCCTAAATACCACAACTCGCTATCTGCTTTGGTGCCCACCAAAAGGTGTGTTTCACCAGGGCTGGGAGAGCACCTGTCATTGCAATGCGGGAGGGAGAAGCACGCGGAGCTGGACGTGGAGCTGCATTTTTGCGCGGGAACACTAGGGGGCTCTTTTGCACCTGTTTTTAGCCGTAGGATTCAGCTAGCTCTTCAGGCTTAGACTTCGCACATGATTTATAACTCATCTGAATCTTTCCTCTGCACTTGAACATACTTCTTTGATATTTGTGCCAGTCTCCTGCTAATCTATGATCTCTGCTTAAGCCTCCTTCCCCTGCCTCAACTCCCTGGTCTATTGAGGGAGAGAATTCCTGAATCTGTCCATCTCACTGTTTCGTAGGTCCTAAAATCTTCGCTTTTCTTTTCTAAGAAGTGTCTTGCAGTGCAGCATGCCTAAACTTCCATCCATAGTTCTCTGAAATCACTACATTCAAAATATCTTATATAACCTGTACTGAGTCATTGATTCATGCACTGAAAGAACGTTTCTTGAGTTTGCATTTTGTGTGTAGCACAGGCTCATCTTCTGTTTTTCCTCATCTTTGTTCCTGATGCATTTAGAAGAATCTTTGGGGAAAATGGAAATTCCCCAAGACATAGTAAAGGATCTCTTTATCCACCAGAGAGTGTAAGCTGGACATTTTTAAAAATATATGCATTTTCTAACTTACAAAAGGATAAATACGTTCTGTGTTCCTAATACTTCAGGGAGAGGGGACACATTGAGTTCTACTGTCAGAAAAAAAGGGGCAGATTGGGACTTTTGTGTGGGAGGGATAATGAGAATTTAGGTGTAGCAGGAAGAGAGCACTGAAGCACAGGAAAAATAAGCAAAAGGCTAGGGGCTGCCTGAATCCATCCCCAGGAGCAGTCTGATAGCTGGTGATCAGTTTCCTGGGTGGATAGACCAGTCACATGTCCAAGCTGTGCAGCCCTGGACCAGTGGTCTAAGGTAAGGGGTCATTATTGTTATTAAATGGAGGCATTATTGTGTTTCATTTAAAGTCAACTACAGCTAGTATCAACAGCTAAAATATTGACGGCGTATTAGTAGCAATATCTCCCTGCCTAAACCTAGAGATCTTTTTAGCCAGTTACCTCATCATCTGTTGAGTGCGAAATCAGTGTTATGCCCCATGCCTTGAGATTAACACATATTTTAGCTGCTCTGTTTATATGTTTCTCTCTGCAATGCCATGGGAAATAGTAAACTCAAGTGACCGCTGGGTTTCTATGGGGATAAGTGGTGACAGAAACTTCTGTTTTGGCAAGAGCATCCTGACCTTAGAAAGGCATGGAGTAGACTCCACAGTATTATGAATAAAACTGTGTGCTAGACATTGTGGAATAAATAGAGATGAATTAAACTTGGTCTCTCTGATTCCTATTTATGGGGCAGAAGAAATACCATGGGTCTATGGTGAAATGTCAAGTCAGGAAGTGAATGCATTGGGTGATACATTTTTCTACTTGAGATAATAACTGTAACCAAGTTTGAGTAGTTCTCTTTTATTTTTTAAAGTTATTTATTTATTCTGAGAGAGAGAGAGTGGGAGGGGCAGAGAAAGGGAGAGAGAGAGAATCCCAAGCAGACTTCGCACTGTCAGTGCAGAGCCTGATGCGGGGCTCAAACTCATGAACCCCGAGATCGTGACCTGAGATGAAACCAAAAGTCAGACGCTTAACCAACTGAGCCACACAGGAGCCCTGAGTATGTCTCTTTACTCTTCAGGTTGGGCTTACCCTGGTTTAATAAATTAAAAAGTATATATTTTCTGATATCAACTTCTATTTTATTTTATTTTAAGTAGGCTCCATGCCCAACATGGGGCTCAAACTCATGACTCTGAGATCAAGAGTCACATGCTCCACTGACCAAAGCAGCCAGGCACCCCACCCCTGGTTTAATAAATTTTTTACCTCATTGGTATAAGTGTGAAACAAAAGTTCACTTTAATATTTTGAAAAAGTCAAATGTCCTCTGTAAAGTCTTTTGTTGATATCATATGATATCACACAGAGGGAAAATTGTGGACTAAATCATAATACCGCTAGCTTGATGAGTTTCTGGTTGAACACCTTCAGCCAGAAGGTGTTTATCTGATGACAGCTTTCTGATGGTAAGTTTCATGGCTTTATCCTGGCCCATATTCTGTTTGATACATTCATTAGGGATTTGGATAAAGATATGAAGGGCACACTCATTAAATTTGTGAGTGACGAGAGTTAAGAAGGTTAATAAAGAAACTAAATGATGGAATCAGATGAAAGAGGTCTTAACATGGGCAGAGAGATGAACCAAACAGTAAAGAAGTTTGAAATGGATAAATACCAAGAACTGTATAATTTTTTTGCTTTAGTATCATAGAGTCTTAACATTAGAAGCATATCAAAACAAAAACAAGCAAAAATATTCCAGGATAGAGTAGTTCAGAACACATGTTTATAAACATGTATAATTATACTGTTAAAAGACATGTAATTATGTTATAATATTAGTACAATGGTTCAAAACACAATATTTTACAGTGGGACACAGCTAAATAGGTAAGTCACAGATTCACCTTTGTGTGTTCTAGGTTGTCTCATCAAGATCATTAAAATGCAACAGCCTAAAATTTGGAGGACAGTTTCATCTTGTCCTCTCCGGGAACTGTAGTTTTGACAATGACAGCCTCAAAGTCAGCTTTATTTGTTCTAGAAATAGCTGGTCAGAGAAGAGTCCATGAGTAAGAATATCTTAAACTTTCATGGTTTCAGCCAAGAGTAGCTGTCTAAAATGTGGTATATTGGCTACAGTGCCAGGCTTGTCATTCATGAGGATAGTCACACACTTTTTAACATTAAACCAAACCACCCTATCCATCCAATTGGCTTTCTTTCTCTCTTTGTGAATCAAAGTAAATTCAGCATTAAGTCTGTTTGTCTGCAATTAGGTAACACTTTTGGAACTGCCTGCATGAGGGAAAGCAATGATAGAGTTCTTCTACTCTTTTGTATTTTCTTGAGTCCACCGCAGACTATAAGTTCTGCACATAAACAATCTACATGACTATTTTTTAAAAATCTCTGTAACTGAGAGGTGCATATCTGCTTTGTTACTGAAATTGTATTGGTTACAAGTTTTGCAGAAATTGGAGCATGTCTCACTTAAAAATATTCTTATTGGGCATATGGGAATATCTCTGTGGATGACAATGCAAATTTTGCATTATTGATCATGATGAGAGGTTCCACTTAATTATCATTAATTTCTGCACACTCTGTGTGATATAGAAAGTTTTGTCTCACACGTCTTCAGCAGCCTTCACTCTGGTGTCCTGATTTCTGAACTTCTTGATGATCACCTTGCTGAGATCCGGGCCCACCTCTTCATCAGTTTCTGGGAATGTCCTAGGGGGAGCCTCTGCTGAATGGCCATTTTGGGCATGGTGGAGGGTCCGTGGGACTAATGGGGGGCACAAGATGGCAATAATGGGCGTCACTTATTCTAAGAATAAAAAAATAAAAATTTTAGGAATTAAAACAAAACAAAACAAAACAAAACAGCTAATGTTCAAGAACAAGGTGAGAGATTTAATGGTAATATTTGTTAAATGTTTTAGAGGCTATAAAGAAGAATATTCTCAAAATGAATCAATTGTGTAATGTGGCTGCAAAGTCATCAATATATATGCAGTATTAGTGCAAGTGGATTAGGTGATGGCAGTATTCCACTGGCTGTGAGTTGATCGGGGCACACCTTTGGATTTGCTTTCAGCTTTGGGCAATATGTTAAAAAAATGTAACATTTGTTTCCATTACAGAGTAGTGTATTTTCACTATTGAAAATCTGGAAAGTACAAAAAAAAAATACATCAAGTAAAAATCATCTATAATCTCATGAATTAGAACCACTGTTAACATGGGTTATATATTGTTCCGAGTTTATGCACACATAGATACACACAAATGATTTTATTATACGTATTTTGGTAATCTCTTTTTTCTCCCACTTGGCAACATGCAGTGAACATTCAAATACTCTTAAGTTACTTCTTTAACATGTAAGTTTAATCAGATAGGTATACTGATCATACTATTATTTTTAAATACTGTAAATAATGCTGTGATGAACATAAGATAGATAAATATTTACTCAGATTCCAGATTATTATTTCCTTAAAGAACATTCTTAAAGTGTAAATTCCAGATACAAAGAGTATTGGTGTCTTTCTTAAGAGTATTGATATCCTGTAGACAAATGAAGTATGTTCAAAAGATAGTGACTTATTAATTTTTTAATGTTTATTTTTGAGAGAAAGAGAGAGAGTGTGAGCAGGTGAGGGACAGAGAGAGAGGGAAACACAGAATCTGAAGCAGGCTCCAGGCTCTGTGCTGACAGATCAGATGCCGGGCTTGAACTCACAAGCTGGGAGATCATGACCTGAGCCGAAGTTGGACACTCAACCAACCGAACCACCCAGGTGCTCTGGTATTGACTTATTTTTACGAAGGGACTGGAAAAGATGCCATTTGAGAACAGTTGTAGGAGAGTAATTGAACACAGTTGCAAGAGGAAAATTGGGGATTCAAAACTTCTTCACATATTTCAGGGCTTGTTACACAGAGAAGAGGAATTATATGACTCAAAAATATAATATTTAGTACCAGTGGTTTGAAGCCACAGGGAGACAGATAGTATGATGCAGAAGTCCTTGTGATGGGCAGCACTATTAAAGCCAGGAGGAAGGAGGTTCACAGAAGAGAGTGTCCTGAACTCAGAGGCCACAAGAATCATGGTCAAGTATATTCAGGAGCTAAGCCTGGATTGGATTTTTCTAACCTTCCAGGTCAGTGACTTGTCCTAAGCAGAAAGTTTTCTTTAAAAATGAGTATGGATCAAATAATTTTGTTGTTATTTGTTTATTTTTTCATGTTGATAGAAATAATTTACATGAGCTTTTGAAAAAACAAAACAAAACAACAATAACCAAACACCTGTAGTGCTGGGTAATTTCAGAATTCAGGTATGTTTTCTTCCTAAAATAATTTTAATAATATATTTTTATAAAGGGATTGATAATTATTTCCATGGTCACTGTTTTCATTATCACCTGGATATTTAAAAATTTTAGACACCCTTTTCTTGTTATTTATAATATACTCATATATGTAATAGGATGCCCAGCTATAGGCCCCATTTATTATTATTTTTTTCCTTTTATTCTAGGGAGAGAACTGTCAGAAAGTCATCTTGTTATGCTTTGTAGGTATAAAGGCTGCTTCCTCCACAAACGGTCTTCCCAGAGGCAATTGGGGTTAAGAGCATTACCTGACAGAGTAGTGGTAAAAAAGTATTGGATGTGAATGAATGAATAAATGAATGAATGAATAGTGTAATGCCTTCTAGAGGCTGAAGAGGATACTTTTATTTTCTAAGAAGAGAGGAATAATCAGATTCTTGGCATTTCCCAGATGGAAGGGGAGCCCCTGCCTGATGTTTGAGAATGTTCTTAGAAGGGAAGGGGTTTAGAGTCTCAAGGTCTACACAAGGATTGTGCCTAAGCATAGTGCTTCTGGACTTGACCCCTTAGGGTAGACTGAGAATTGGCAACTATGGAAATTCAGGCAATAGAGAGCCTTGCTCTGTCTTGTTCTAATTCAGAGGGAGTTGGGTTATCTTCTCTTCAAGATCCACCTGATGCCTGTGTGGTAACCAAATGAATATCAACCCAGCTGACTAGCATCAAAATCCAATTTAGTGTCAGCATCATCTGTTGAACTGGGATCAAGGGTATGAACCACAGTGTGCCAGCAAGAAGAATGGCAATAATGCAATTGTCAGAAGAATAAAGATTCCTTTGCCTGGGTGTAGAAGTTGGACCGACATTCTCACATATGGACTGAGAAAGCAGTCAGGTTTTGGGAAATTTAGGGAGGTTGTGCCTCCAAAGAAAGATCCAATAGGATGTCAGTTAATTGACGACAGGGATCCCTGCATGTTTTGTTTATTGATGTGTCCCAAGCATAGACCAGCTTAGTCTGATCTATGAGTCTTATTGAGTGACCATAGTAGTCACTCAATAAATATTTTGCTAATATGCTTTCTAAAGGTCCTGGACTTTGTGAAGCAAAGTATGTTTCTGAGATTTTCTGACTCATTTACTGATTCAGATACTAGTTTCTTTTTTCCCTGTAACTCACACCATGTGACAAAGAAGGATGTTTGTTTTAGATTCTGGGATTCTCATTTTTACTTAAAAATTTAACCATAATTAAAATTGTTTTTGTCCTCTCTTCCTTCCTGTAGAAAGGCTTCAAGACAGTATTTGAAAACATCACCCACAAAATGAGATCATTCAACCTGAAGCCTTTTGGCAAAATCAACATATTTTTGTGCTTTATTTGATATACAGATACATAAGAGTTTTGGTGGACAGCAGTTATCAGGTGAATTAAAGCTTCACTCTTCAGAATTGTGCACAGTTATATTGTAATGTGTATTATAGGATGTCTGAAGTTTCTGAAGAGGATAAAGAGAATGGAAATTTTCTTTGAAGATTGGAATTTATTTAACAAGAATTTTTGTAAAGTAAGTGAGAAAAGTTTCTATGGATATTATAGATTTCTTGACCAATTCTGAGGCCAAAGAAATAAGATTATAAGCTGAGGATTCAACAAAGATTAGAATGATTTTTACATACAGATCTAATGATTTTAAATGGTGTTCAGATATAATGTGAACAAATTCCAATGAGCTGAGGAACTGTAATATAAGGAGGAGCTGTTTCAATTTGGTAGAGACAGAGCGTGAAGTTTTTTAACACCTAGCAAGAGAGGTGCTGTAAGTTCATATTCTTACTGAAGCTACCCTTTTGAGATTAGACTTAAAAAAATCTTTTTTGACTGAGTTCACATGTTCAAAGGCCAGAGAATCATTTGGGACAAGGGCTTTTTTATCCACTCTAAATCCAGGGATGAATCCAGCGTTTAGAAAATATTCAGACTGTCTGAAAGTTAATGCCCGGCAAGTACGCTGGATGTTCTGGATGAACAACTTCTATGTGATGTCCTTTATAGTAACATGACAATCAGATGTGCCCAGTCACCAGTACTTGGCAAGGAGCTTCCGTTTGATATTGTTATGAATATAAATGAGGATGAAGG